TAACAGCTTGTCTTCCCAGTGTTGGTCCAAGAATGAAGCTGGGATGTTGATGGATGGTAAATATCCCCTTTGCAGTTGCAGCAGTTGCCCCAGCCACACTCATTAAAACTATACATATTTCCGCATTCTGTGTACATTACAAAATATCACCTGCAGTCATGTGATAATTGATTCCATCTGTGCTCCGCCACAGACATCTGCTTTTTAACAACCCTGTTTTCTCTCGCTGTGTCATGCCTTATCATTAGGACAGCTACACAAAGTCTGTCTTGTTGTTTATTGTTCTGGTTGGATGCTTGTGGTATAAAACATTTACGCTCTGCAAACTATGATTTAGGTTGCAATTAAATTAAAGATTTTTTTAACTGAACAAAAAACAAACATTAAAGCATGCATGTGTTTCTGGACTGTACTAGTGTTTCTTACATGTCCTTTAAGCACTACTTTCAAAAAATATTTATAGCTTGCAGCAGGTCATTTGCAGATTACAGTGTTTAAGTTAGAAAGTTCAAATGTTTTGTGTTGGCGCCAATGCTGCGCCAGGTCTTGACTGGAAAACGATTCTTTGAGTTGCATTAGAAAAAGTCAGAAATATACAACTTATTTCCCAATGAAGACGAATCTCATCAGCACCTCAAAGACAAATCTCAGCACCTCAATCTGCTTGAACAGGTCTTAAACTCAACTCTACTGAAAATGGGCCATGTAATCACCTCTGCAACTTATGACATGCTTTTTCATCACTTTTCTTCAAATGGATGGATATAATTTTACACTGTGTATATAGATAGACAGTATATCAATATATTGATATTGAAGAATTCACAGTCAGCTAAGAAACATAGTAGCTATCTATATTGTATATTTTGTGTGCTCATTGTGTTTTCTTACTACTGTTCTGTATGTGGGCTGCAACAATGAAATTTCCCCACTGTGGATTTCCATAGCATGAATCATATTTTTATACATTTATAAAAGCACCTGCAACTCCCTCCCTCTGTCCTGTATGTACGATATGGTCTCTTCTAGTGCATCATATGATGATAATCCAAGAAATATAATGCATCTTTATAATTTCTAAAATAAAAAATTCTAGTATTGGAAGAAACTTGTGAGTTTTGTAAAATTGTATTACAGTAAAGTCTTTCGTCATTGTGTAACTAAGTGTAACTCCAAGTTTGTGAAGATTGGTAATATATTACTAGTTACGATTTAAGTAATTGTAAGTTCACATTTTATTTATTGTATTATCAATTCATTATAGTTCTAGGGGACAAAAAAGCAGAAGTATTTCATCTAAGTATTGAGCAATATGACTATATTACAATGTTCCAGTTTCCAAGCAGGGAATCCAATCAGGGAGCAATCGTGTGTTTGGGGACTTGGTGTGGCATGTTGAACATTCATGTCAAGCAAATTTTCACTAATCATTAATTTTATTGCAGGTACATGGGCTTGTTTTTATTGCAGCAAGATGTGAGCAGATATCAGGACATTTTCAAACGGTTTAATGCTCACTCACACAAACCCCAATTTTTAAATTACAAAATCAAGTATAATTTAACTTAACTTATGCAACCCACTGTACATCTTGCATTGGCAAACTCTGGTTTGTTAAATTAGTTACCTTTTGGCACGGTGGAGCAGCAGTTATAGTCTGTCCTTCACGTCAAGAAGTTGGGTTTGATTCCATCTTCAGATGGGTCCTTTCTGTGTGGTTTGTTCTCTTCAAAGGTTTTCTCCAGGTGCTCCGGTTTCCCTATAAGCATGTATAATAGTTCAGGGTGAGAGAACGCACATTCATGAGTGTGACTGTGGGACAACGTGTATAAGAATATTTTCGTTAATACACACTGTCCCATCTCAAAACTGCAGTTCATTGTGGTTAGCCATGCTTCTAAATTCAGTGTCAGTAGGGTCAGCAAAATTCTGCCTATACATATTTAATTAATGTTGTAGTCTGTGAGCCAGGGCTGATGTGAAGGTACATATCAAGGCTGATTTATCAGATTTTCAAAATCTGATAATATATAATTAACCTTGAATAGTTAAGACATTTGGAGTTGTCATGAGATGCATTTCGGCAGCATAGTAATCCAAAATGTGCTGCCCAAAAAAGGGAATTAATTAGAACTTCAAAAATGTTTTTTCATGAGCCAGAGCTTCGAAGTTCTCCCCACAAAGTGGGAATTTACAAGATTAACCCTTGCAGGTTTTGCCATCATTGTTATAATATCTATAGATAAGATTAGAGAAAAAGGAACCCCTGACGTATCGGGGTCCCTGTCCTTTGAAGTAGTCAGGGCAGAGAGAAAAAGGAACCCCTGATGTAGCGGGGTCCCTGCCCTTTGGAGTAGCCGGGGCAGAGAATAGAGAATAGAAAATAGTTAGTGAAACCATGGTGTAAAAATTAAAAGTACTGTAATAATAAAAAGGGAAACGTTAAACACTAAGAGTGCCTTTTATTACAAGTGTGGAAAGTGGCCATTTCTAGACTTGGATGACAAAAGTATAAACTACAACATCAGTTATATTCGCTTAAAAAAGTAATCTTGAAAGTTCTTCTTCTTTCTGTTGTTGCATTTTTACTAAAACACTGCTTTCTGCCTGTGTGTGCACATCTATATCTTGCTGCCGTTGTCAGGGGAAACGGCCCCCTCCTTCACTACTCCGGCTCTGAATCAAAACAAACCTGCCTTTAGGATTTTGGCTTTTAAGTTTTTAAATTTGCTAAATTTGCAATTGAACATTGTGTTATGACACAGTTAAACGTTTTTAAACACCATTAGTGAATACGTTTTGAATATTATATGTTTTTTGAAACCCAAATATTAGTGCTAAAGTTGTAAAAATTTACCTCACATTTGGCATTGATAAAATCACTCAGATTGTACATTTGTGAACATGTTGTGAACAGCAGTGCTGTTTATTTCAGGTCATTAGTTTGTCTTGAACGCCTCCCTGGGGAGGTGTTTTGGGCACGTCCCACCGGGAGGAGACCCCGGGGAAGACCCAGGACACGCTGGAGGGGCTTAAGTCTCTCAGCTGGCCTGGGAACGCCTTGGGGTCCCCCCGGATGAGCTGGAGGAAGTGTGTGTGGATAGGGAAGTCTGGGCGTCTCTGCTTAGACTGCTGCCCCCGCGACCCGGCAACGGATGAAGTGGAAGAAAATGGATGGATGGATGGAATGGATGGAGTTTGTCTTGAACACATATCTATAAAATTAGCCTCATACATTTTCAAGTATACAAGTGTTCATCCATCCTTCCATTTTCTTCTGTTGTATTTGTTGCTGAGTCGTGGGGGCGGCAGTTTGAGCAGAGTTTCCCAGACTTCCCCTATCCACACACACTTCCTCCAGCTCATCCGGAAGAATCCTAAGGCGTCCCAGGCCTGCTGAGAGAGTTCCTCCAACGTGTCCTGGTTCTCCATGCCCGAAACACCGCCCCGGGGAGGCGTCTCTACAAGCAGCGGCTCTGTGGGCGGCACGGTGGTTGAGTGGATAGCACTCTCGCCTCTCAGCAAGAAGGTCCTGGGTTCAAATCCCGGTCAGACCAGGGCCTTTCTGAGTGGAGTTTGCATGTTCTCCCCGTGTCTGCGTAGGTTTCCTCCGGGTACTCCGGTTTCCCCTACCACTAAAAATATGTCCAATAGTTCTGGCAGGCGCCTCCTGTACTGGCCCCTCCCATCTCTGTGTGGAGTGAGAGACAAGTGCCCATAATTAACAATTGTAAACCGCTTTGAGACTCAGATCTGCAGTGAAAAGGCGGTATATAAATAAAGATAAAGATTACTACTACTACTACTCTACTCCGAGCTTACTAGGCCACTCAAAGACACTTTACAGAGAAAGCCACCCCACTATGTGATGCCCAATGCAAAAGAGAGTCCAATGGTCCATATAAACCCCCAAATAAATATAGGACACAACCTGCTTCATTGTGATAATATCTCTATATATCTATCTTTTGCCACATTTAGTAATATAGTTGGTTGTTGTCGTATACATCTAAAACAATGCAGTTAAAATGAAATGTTTAATAACCTACATTGAAAAGACAAATAAAAGTGTAATATAATTGTACTGATTATTTGAAACACTGCAGTATTTTTTTTTTCTTTTTTACTTGAACAAATACTGTATAAGTAATGATTTTGCTGCTATTTTGTCTTACTACTTACATTGGGAACGATCTTCAGGCCCAAAGGCCAATGCTCTACCAACTGAGCCACTGTCGCCCACAATTAAATAATAATTTAAATAATAATTAAATAATAGTAAATATTTATTTGCATTTAAGTTTTTTTTCTGAACATATAAGTTAAAACATAATAACTATTAATACCAACGTGTATAGGAATCACATTTTAGATTGCATTTAATATTGTAGCCGTTTTCATATAGGTTAATATAATAACATATTTGTTATATTCCACAGTTGAAAATAATAAAGAATTTACTAGATTAAACACACAAATGTACAAATTTTGAAACAGACCCATTAGAACATGCCATTTTGCGAGAAAAAAACATATTAATATTTCCATTTTGGTGAATCGCGCGTGAAAACTAACGACAGTCTGTTTTCTTTGTCCCATAGGCAAGGCAAGGCAAGTTTATTTATATAGCACAATTCATACACAAGGCAATTCAAAGTGCTGAAAAAAACAAGAAAGCATTAAAATCATAGACTGCATGTTTGTCCACAAACTATGTCAAGATGCATAACATTTCAATTAAGTTAAAATTGGAATAGCGTACTATTCACTTAGTAATTATTTGTGTATATCTTACACTGATTGGACTCCATGGAACGGAAAAGTCATGCGCTTGTTTCCCATCGAACAATATATAGAGTCGCACCATCACAAATGCTCGCATGTCGTGATCGGTCTTGTGCGGTGTTATGGTAGTTTTGTTTATTTAAACGTCGAACACGGACTTACTGTAGACTTTGGTGTTGTTTCGTCAGTATTATGAAGCACTACTATTTTTAATCATGTTTGCCAAACCGTTTAAGGTGAAATCTAACACTGTAATCAAAGGATCTGACAGGTGAGATGATGCTGGAGTGCTGTCAGTCTGTTGGATTCTGGCTATACATTTAACTAGCTACTCTCATGTTATTATTTTTGTATTATCTATTTGCTGTTAAGAGTGAGTAAAACATTTTACTCTTTCAGCTCTCTATCTACAAAGTAAAGACAATATTCTAAAATGTATCCTCAGTCAACTCGTATCTATAGCTTGTATCTATAGCTCATGATAGATAACACCGTTTTTTTTATTTTTGAATGTTTGATTAGTTTAGTCACTGATTTGTTACTATCTGTGTGTGGTCCTTCGCAAATATAAATATTCACGAATTTCATGTTAATATTAACATTGCACAATTAATTGGGGCATCTCTGCTTCCACTGGGTGCGTCCCAGAGAGTCAAGAATTATTGTGATTTCAGCAAAGTGAGGTATTCAAGTCAAATGCATGTATCAAATTCAAGAATAATACGATATTGTGGTGAATGTCAGTTAATGTAATGATTTAAGTCCATTTCCCCAAAAACTATGTATTAAATGTTTCCATGGATTTTTAAAAACAGTTTTATACATTGAGTGTATTTAAAGAGCAGTACGAGATGACTTCAAACAGGGCCTAGACTAATTGCAACAGTAGAGATATCTGGTTGATGTTGGAGAGCACTTTTCATGTTCATCTTTGTATACAGAAGACCAGTGTTAAGTGAGAGGAAGTCACAATTACTTCAAATATTACTGCTGATTATTGCTAATTTGAGGTTGTTTGGTGCAGATTATATTTATTGAATTTCCCTGCAAACCTTCCACCTCTCTGTCATATGACAAGAGTTTATTTTATTGGAGTCAAAATGACCATCAGGGAATGTTTTATTATTTCTTATTGAGACATGTAATGTTTCATTACCGTCCTTCCTGTTGAGGTACAAATACATTCTATTTTTTCTCTTATTTTTCATTTTATAATTTATCTGTTAAAGGTTGGTTTTGTTCCATGTATAAATGATCAATCATATTGAACCTTTTATCTCTCTTTTTTTCCTCCAGGAGAAAGCTAAAAGTTGACATATCTGCAGCCTTTCCTGCTCTAACTGCAAATGAGTTATCAGAATTGGTTCCCAACAAAGAGGAGTTAAATGTAGTTAAAACATATAGTCACAAAGGAGAATCAGTAACACTTTATGTCCTCAACAAAAATCCATTATTCTTTCAGTTGGAAAGATGCATTTACCCCACAGGTAATTGGAATATTTAATTCATAGGTTAGTAATTCCGTTAAACCACATACCTGTTCTTATTTATTATTATTTGTAGTTTATGTGCTATGGCGATATCCTGCGTTGCTTCCAGCATTTACTACTTGGCCTCCTGTGCTTGACAAGTTAATTGGAGGAGCCGGTATGGATTTTGTCATTTACAAACTGTTCCTGTTATCTATTTATCTCATTACATGTATTGTATTGTCATTTGTAGATCTCATGCTTCCTGGTGTTGTGACTCACAGTGGTCTCCCATGTGTGAATCAAGGGGAATGTTGTTCAGTAAAACTAGTCAATAATGGGCAAGTCCGAATTTCATTACTATCGCTAGTTCATTTTTGAATAACGCTTATAGTTATCTTGTTGAAAACAGGGCTCCTGTTGCTATTGGGACTGCAGCAGTTTCCTCTTCAGAGATGCAGCGTTCAGGCATGAAAGGCAGAGGTGTTTGCATCCTTCACACATACCTGGACACGCTGTGGTCAGTGCAACTGTTTCATGTGTTTTAAGCTTTTTTCAGCAAGCAGCTTCTTCAGACAATTGTTGATGTGTTAGATATAATGCAGAACTAAACAATAGTATAACATTTTATACTGTGTTAAAGGGCTTTTGGCGACAAGTCAGGTCCACCCTCTTTACCAGAAAGTGAGGAACAAGACGTAAGCTCAGAAGCGTGTGACCAGGAGGATGAACAGGGGACGGGCACGGAGGCGGCGCCGTGTAGCGACGAGGTCATCCACCAGGTCTGCACTGAAGCCGACGAGCTGAGTTTGGCAGATCCCGTTCAGCAAGAATTGGACACAGAGCTACAAACAGAAGATGAGCAGATATCCCCGCAAGGTATTAATATCTAATGATGCGTTTAGAAAAGATTTGCTAAGTGTTTATCGTAAGGTGGCTGAGTGGATAGCACTCTCGCTTCTCAGGTTCTGGGTTCAAATCCCGGTCGGCCTCTCCGAATGGAGTTTGCATGTTCTCCCTGTGTTTGCGTAGGTTTCCTCCAGGTACTCCGGATTTTCCTACCACTAAAAACATGTGCAATAGTTAAGGGTGAATGAGTGTGTGTGTTTGAGAGTGTGAATGTTGGACAACTTATGCAAATCAGCCCATAGCTACAATCTGGAGTGATGTGTTCATTAACATGTACTGTCCCAACCAAATAAACAATAAATAAGAGCAGGGGTGTGACCACAAAACCAATCACTTATTATCTTATAAACATTGATGTCAACTGACTTTTCAATTATGGAACCAATAATTAGGGGTTGGATAATATTATTTTGGTGATATACCAAGTTTGAATTGCATGTTTATTCAAATTCAATTGTGTCAAAATGTTCAGAATAAAAAATTGCCTCATAATTTAGTATTGGAATATCTCGTATCTGGACCCGTCTATTGTGATTTGTATCATATTGACAAATACAAGGCAATGCGCACCCCTACTGAGCCATATGCTAATTCAAGGACAATTATCTTCAACCAGCTCTGACATAAAGAATGTGCAACCTGGTATTCGTCTTGTTTCATCCAAGTACTAACCAGGCCCCGCACTGCTGAGCTTCTGAGATCTGGCTCGATCAGGTTTTGACAGATATGGCCGCTGTTTGGGTCAGGAGACGGTGAAGGTTGTTACAAAATCTTTAGCTTGTGTCTATTGCTGTAATCAAGCGTGGACTCTGAAGGCCATTGACAGAGGTTTATTCCAATTTCTAACATTGTTTCACTTATGTTTATCATCATTGCAGGAAAAGAGGCATAATATATCTATTATCTCTGACTCTATTTCCCTGTACGGCAGTAGTATTTATGAACCTGTGCCCACTGCTTTTATTCGTATAAGCTGCTGGTGATATGGGACGAGTACAGACCCATTATTACAACATGCACCTCAGAGAAAAACGTTCTTTAAAGCAGTACAAAAATTAAAAAAATTCTAACTATATTATATAATTACTAGAATCATATTTTATTGGGAGCATCAATATTTAATTGTTGAGGCAAGATCAGAGAGGACTTAGATTTACATAACTTTGATATTTGTGTAATTAATCTTTCATACTTCTCTCGCTGCTGGGCGACATGGTGGCTGAGTGGATCGCCTCTCAGCAAGAAGGTCCTGGGTTCGAGTCCCGGTTGGATCAGGGCCTTTCTGAGTGGAGTTTGCATGTTCTTCCCATGTCTGCGTAGGTTTCCTCCGGGTCCTCCGGTTTCCCCTACCACTAAAAATATGTACAATAGGTCTGGCATGTGCCTCCTGTACTGGCGACCCCCACTCCCAAAAATAACAATTGTAAACCGCTTTGAGACTCCGATGTGCAGTGAAAAGGCGGTATATAAATAATGATTACTACTACTTACTTAAGTTAATGTCTAAACTTTAGCTCAATGGTTTTTGAAAATGTTAAAATAAAACGAATCTATAAATTATAAAATTATATGGTGATAGTTTTGTCTTTTACTTGCTGTAGACGGTACCAATACATGCATCAAGAGTTCCGAGCTTCCGGCTTGACCGCACAGCATTATGGGTAGTTTTCTCAAAAAGGCGGGCATCAAACCACGCTGCCATATTGGATTACTTGTTGCGAACGTGATCTCTCTCTCTTGTTTCCAGCCCATAGATTGTTTTAATAGCTAAAAAATTCACCAATTTCAGACATTTTGAAGGTAAGGTAAAGATTTTTTCATTTAACAAAAAAGCAATGCATTTTTTTTTGTGGTTTTATATGTAAACACAACCGACTGACCTTAGAGCTACATGTAGCTTATGCTAAACATTTCTGATCAGAGCATTCAGAGTGGGGACATTATTAAGAACAAACCGTGAGCTGGTGGCTTCAAACAAAGTTATTTTCATTTTCTCTGTACACATGTGAAATCTCCGTGCTTAAGTGTTAGCCTGTCCATACAGCTTACAGGACTGCCTCTGAATGTCATCGTCATCACTTAGGTCACTCCTGATTACGTGCCCCAGGTATTTGGCATTCTCTACATTCAGAAGCTCCACACCAGACAAATATGTCCAAAGTACAGCTTTGGGCAAGTTTATAAAGCTCACGTGTAATTCGATCCTTGTAATTATAGCATAAGCTAAATGTAGCTCTATAGTCAGTCAAAGTCAAGTTTATTTATACAGTGGGGCAAAAAGTATTTAGTCAGCCACCGATTGTTCAAGTTCTCCCGCTTAAAATAATGACAGAGGTCTGTAATTTTCATCATAGGTTCACTTCAACTGTGAGAGACAGAATGTGAAAAAAAAATCCAGGGGCCGTATTCCTAAAGATTCTAAGAGTCCTCTCAGAGAGTTCCTATCTTACCCTAAAAACTCCTAGCTAGGAGTCTTAGCTTAAAAGTTATTCCAGAACACTCTTAGAGAACTCTGAGCAAGGAATTGACAACAACTTTTATCTTAGTGAGGAGGCGTGGCCGACCCCGTTGCTAGGTATGAGTCATCATTTCAGACGCTGTGATTGGTTGATCTTAAAAGTTAGTAAAAACATATTTTTGATGATAATGGGCAAAATAAGGGCCCTAAAATGGACAAACTCAATCATGGAATCTAATCTTAGGAATACTGTGTTATTGTAAATAATAACCAAACGCTATAAAGTCAGATATATCAATGGTGCATAAATACTGTGAATAGTAAGATAGACTTTTACACCACATCATCAGAGCTTGCTCAGCACCAATTTCTAACAAATACATAGTACGTATATATCATGAGCACTTATAATTTTATAATATATATATATTTATGTATATATACATACAATTTAAATATTACTCCATATATAATATACATGAAAAAGAAAATTATTATTATAAATATTATATGGATAAATGATGATAGTGATAACGTTAGGATTAGTAAAGGCTGTGATATGTATAGACTTATAAGGCATTAAGGAAACAATATTAATACAAACATATTATACATACAATGTACAAATCAAGTACAAGGGAGTTTAAAAGTCTTAACCTCTCTCACTCCTTTTTGAGCTGGATTGTTGTTAATAAAACAAAACTGTGTATTTGTACTTCTATTCTGTTGTTGTTTTGTTTTTTGTCCTTTTTTCTTGTTTGCCATGGCTCAAAATAAAGTATTCATTCATTCGTACTGAATGTGTGAAAATGTAGGCCCACTTGTACAGTATTAACGCAATAATAGTTACATTTACTTGCTTTTATTATTACCATGCTGGTTATTTTCTCTCTTTCAACTTTCACCATTTCTACCTACTTTTGTGTAACAAGGGTAAAATGGATGAGGTATTATTGCTGACCAGCCTATAAGAAGCTGGTCACATGATTGACTTTTAAATATTACAGAAGCATAATTCCTGCTCGACTCAATCTGTAGCGTTTCACTGATTCACTGTCATCCAGTGTATAGAATATTTCTCCTGTCTCCACCGTCCACCATTTTGAGCTCTTAAGCCTAGCGTACATCGGACTGGCAACTGATTATATCCGTCGCCTCTGAGTTGCTGCCCCGCACACATCGACAATCTGGCGAAAACGGGCAACTCTGAGTCGCAGGCCAGTCTCTTGAATAACAGCGCGTACATCGACAGCAACTGGCCTCAACTACAGTGTGTTTTCTGACAACAAACTGTTGCGGGCTCGCAATACACGCAATACACACACGTTGTTGGAGCGGCGCATGGAGCGCGCACATCGGGGCAACTGAGGACAACTAGTTGCCGAAAAGTAGAACACGGGCAACTGACTGGAACTGGAGACCGACTGATCATCTCCAGTTGTAAGAGCGCGCACATCGACCGATTTTGGCAACTGATCATCTCCCACCATCTCCTCTCAGTTGCCAAAAGCCGCCTTGCAACTAGTTGTCCCCAGTTTCTCTGTCGATGTACGCTAGGCTTTAGGGAACTTTTAAGTCGCTAAAAGTCCACCTCTCAACTCTTAAGGGATCTCCCCTTAGGAGCACTCTTAAGAGCTAGGATTCTTTAGGAATAGCTTTTATCTTAACTAGGAGCTACTCGTCACTTTTAGGGGAAATTCTAAGAGTTGGTCAAGATTCTAAGAAAATTCTTAGAATTTGGCCACTAGGAGCAACTTTTAGCACTAAGAATCTTTAGGAATACGGCCCCAGGAATTCACATTGTAGGATTTTTAACAAATTCATTTGTAAATTATGGTGGAAAATAAGTATTTGGTCAATAACAGAAATTCAACTCAATGGAAGGAGGTTTTGGCTCAAAATTTCACGATACATGGCCCCATTCATTCTTTCCTTAACACGGATCAGTCGTCCTGTCCCCTTAGCAGAAAAATAGCCCCAAAGCATGACGTTTCCACCCCCATGCTTCACAGTAGGAATGGTGTTCTTGGAATGCAACTCAGTATCCAAACACGACGAGTTGAGTTTATACCAAACAGTTCTACTTTGGTTTCATCTGACCACATTCTCCCAATCCTCTGCTGTATCATCCATGTGCTCTCTGGCAAACTTCAGACGGGCCTGTACATGCACTGGCTTCAGCAGGGGGACACGTCTGGCACTGCAGGATTTGATTCCCTGTCGTCGTAGTGTGTTACTGATGGTAACCTTTGTTACTTTGGTCCCAGCTCTCTGCAGGTCATTCACCAGGCCCCCCCGTGTGGTTCTGAGATATTTGATCACCGTTCTCATGATCATTTTGACCCCACGGGATGAGATCTTGCGTGGAGCCCCAGATCGAGGGAGATTATCAGTGGTTGAAATATCGTTTTGGGCTACATTTGTGCTATCTTTTATACCGATAACGAGTTCAAACAGGTGCCATTAATACAGGTAACAAGTGGAGGACAGAAGAGCTTCTTAAAGAAGAAGTTACAGGTCTGTGAGAGCCAGAGATCTTCCTTGTTTGAAGTGGCCAAATACTTATTTTCCACCATAATTTACAAAAAAATTCTACAAAAATCCTACAATGTGAATTCCTGGATTTTTTTTCACATTCTCTCTCTGTCACAGTTGAAGTGTACCTATGATGAAAATTACAGACCTGTCATTATTTTAAGTGGGAGATCTTGAACAATCGGTGGCTGACTATACAGTGGGACTTTTTTGCCCCACTGTATAGCACATTTTAAAACCAGACAGGACTGTCACAAGGTGTAACACTGTCATAACCCATGTCAATAGAAATGACAGAAACACGCCAAACAACAGTTGCCAAGTGAAATAATATTTATTAATAAGCAAAGTTAATATTTTAATGAGGTGTGGAAGTCTGTAATGAGTGTGTGTAAGTGTATGTGCCGTGAGCGTATGTCTGCGGTGTTGAATGGTGTGTAGAAAATAAACCAAAACGAACCAAGACAAACGAACCAAAACGAACCAAGCAACCAAACCAAACCATACAAAAGGAGGCGGGACACGCAGGTGTCAAGATGGGAGCAGGATGAGCCAACAACAATCTCTGGCATGTGCTCGAGCTTTAAAGGCGCGGCTCCGTGTGTCACGCACGCGCACCAATGAGCACAGCTTCCACCTGAGAGAGGAGGATATACGGCCCGTCAGTGGCCGTAACAACACTATCATAAAAGTTTGAATATTTTTTCATTAAATGAAAAAATCTTAGCTAAGTGTTTAGCTATTAAAACAATCTATGGGCTGGAAACAAGAGAGAGCAAGATCACGTTCGCAACAAGTAATCCAATATGGCAGCGTGATTTGATGCGCACCTTTTTGAGAAAACTACCCACAATGCCGTGCGATCGAGCCGGAAGCTCGGAACTTGGAACTCTTAATGCATGTATGGTAATTCCAAATAAGATTCACATAAGTTGCACCCTCCCAACACAGTTGCCCCCCTCTCCACAGACACACACACACTTTGAGTAGCACTGCTATATGGGCCTATATATTGATTCTGAGAAATACTGGGATAAATGCTTATATTAAAACTACAAAGTGCCATACAATAAAGCCAGATACTATTTTTATAAAGCCAATAATAATGTTTACTATTTCATAAAAAAGACTTCCTTATGAAAATGTACAACAGAATTAAGGAATGTTTAGCCATATTGAGCCATCTACAGCTAAAACCTCCACATTATACAAAAACAAAATCTCTCAATTTTTGCCAAAGAAATGTATGGATGATAAATATTTAGGCCCAAAATATATTGTGACACCCTTCAGTTATTGAACAATAAGTTGATATTGCAATTCCTGCGTGAGGCATACTGCTACACCACTCACAAAACCCTGTGAAGTTGTTGATGCGACCTAAACTAACCTCTCTTTTCTTAGAGCTGATGGATGCCCTGCTGTTTCAGTGCTTTCTCCACGCACTTAAGACAAAAGTAAAAAAGTCAGAACTCCCTCTGTTGACTAGCACCTTTCTCCGCAATCATATGTTTTCCTGCTGGTAAAATAAAACATCTTATCTCTATTAACAATAACTACAAATGTAATCAATTTTAATCACTGCAAAGATTGTTTTGATTGCAGTCCAAGTGGAAAGCAACTGGACATCAAGAGATCCAGTTATAAGAAGGTAAGGGTTAAAAGTTCAAAAACCAGTTAACATAAAAACATTCTGAGCATTCTTGTGCCTGTATGTATTGCAGCTTTCCAAGTTTCTACAGACGATGCAACAACAGCACAGGCTGATACGAGTGAAAGAACTGACAAAGGGTGTGGAGAGCATTGTGGAGGTGGACTGGAAAAATCCGGAGTGAGATATATTTGAATACATTCCCCTCTCAGATTCTGTCTCAATCATAG